CAATGGGCCAAGGCACAAGATGTTTTATATCTTCTCAAGATGTTGCCGCGCATCGAAAAGTTCGGCATTCATCTGTCAAATGGCCGACAGCGCGAGGCCACAGACCCTCAGAGCTTGAATGAATATTGGCAAAAAAGTCCCTGGGTCAACGAATATCCCTGGACGACTCAAGATTCGAGTTCTGTCTCGAGCCGTCTTCTCTTACCGTTCGTGAGGCTCAAAGCACGTTACAGCGCGACAACCTGGGATTACGGGAAGGGAAACTGCAGATATGATCTCTGGGATGATCGGGGTGCTCTCTACGAAAATAACCCAATACCACATCCAACCAGAAACCACTGCTATTGCGAAGGTCTGTGTACCTCAGTGTTACTGCATCGGGTTGCGGACTTGATAACACGAAAAAAAAGAGAAGACATTCTCTAAGCCCATAATGTATGGCCTTGATCAAAAACTGAACTGTATGTCTTACTGGCGTGATCGATATGTTGAGGTCGAATCGGGGGTAAAGAGCATGGATTGTCTAATCGATAGATGTCCTGGCTCACAGGCAGATATGCTTCGTCTGCACCGGCTGCGCACACGATACACCTCGGGCAGGAATTTCTTTTCTGTAGACAGCTTCAGATGGAGAGGTATCCGAAAGTATTCCTTGTTGAATGTATTCATACAAACCCGTGCAAATACATCCAGAACCCTGGCTCATTTGCTCAATCCGTGCGCCTCTGTCAGAACGCAGGAGTTGCGGAAGGAGGTATCTCAATTGGACAAGTTTTTCAAGGGCTCTGTCAAGAACCCCACCTTTCTGAGTTCTTTGGGGTGTTATACGAAAGACGGTTGGGATAAGAACGCATGGCTACACTGTTATCCCCAGGGAATACCCACCAATATCACAATGGTACCCTTAACGTTTTTACCTAGCTCTACAGCTGGAGGACACGACTACCTACTGATTTACTTTGCTGAAGATGAATCTGATACGGAAACTAGCTCCGAGATTTCTCTTGTACTTTAATTCTGTATTCATAAAGTATCATGGTTGCCTAATAAAAGAGTGTCGTCAGGAGTTGACAATGCCCCTCAATCCTTACTATACCGGATTTTGTACAGTCACATGAAAGGTTTTTTTACTCAGTATCCATAAATAGCAGCAGCCAATCTTGAAGAACAGGTTATCGTGACAATATATGATTGTGAGCACAATGACTATATTCCAGTCGGAGCTAAGGAGACGCCGATCCGACGTCCCGAGATGTTCCCATCATGAGGACAGGTCCATACTGGAGCTTGCAGGGTCAGCCGGCCCTGCCTATGTTGCAATCGGACGCATGATAATAGAAAGGACGAGCAAGCGTATTCGAACTGAGCCGTCTCGGCTAGCCGCAATCCAGGATCAAATCCAATAACGTTGATCCACCGGCTGAAGCTGAGCTTCGGAGCCGAGGAAGCGGCAGGCTCACGGCCACCTAACGGCTTTGAAGGATGCTCACGTTAGCTTTGACTGTGTCCTTCAGCTCGATCCAACAGATCTCTTCGGGTTCCTGAACTGAGTCTTTGAAAAGATGTAGGAGGATGACGTGCTAATCTCTCATGAATATAAGCCTTAATCAACTTTTGAAATCTCTCATACCAGATTCACTTGCTGACTTATGGGAAATACCTCTTGATGAACCTGCTCGGGAACATGAAAACCAGATAATCTACGGCATATTAATCAGAATCTCTCCCAAAGGCATTTTTTTCTCTTCCATCATGCCCCGCCAACGCTCTAAGAAGACCACGAGTCGTTATATCCTTTACAACCGAGTCAAACGTCTGGGGATCGAAATGCCAGCCTGTTCTAGATGTGAAAAGCGCAGCACAAAGTGTATCGTCGCAGTCGACTCTTCGCGCTGCTCAGAGTGTATTCGTGCTGGCGGCTCTGTCAAATGCGATGTTCATGGCCCTTCTGAACAAGAATGGGCTTTACTGGAGAGCGAGGAGAAAAAGTTGTCAGAAGCATGGAGGACCACCCAGGGTCATCTGATTGAGCTACAATCAAGACTCTTTCGATTAGACCAACAAAGAGAAATGTTACGCAAACGCGCTGCGGAGATGCTTCGTCGCGGCCTCAGATCTCTTGATGAGTTCGATGGTGTGGGGAAGGAAGTGTGTTTGGAGGTAGAAACGAATGCCTCCGAAAGATCTACTTGCATTTTGTCTCCATCCGTGAGCTCTTTTCACCAACCGAGCGAGTTCTGTGATCAGCTAGGAGCAAACATGGTCTCAATTCTTCCAGAGGACAGCTCTTTGGACACATTCTGGACAGGTATGGGGCTTACTGGGATGGCAAAGGAGCTTTCAACTGGGGCCTGGACAGTCTCTCACATGGGCCATGTAAGCAATGTTGATGAGATTGATATAGCCGGTCACTGCACTTGATTTTGTTCACGGCGTCCTGGTATCGGATAATGTGCTGTGGTCTTTGAAATCTTATACGTCGAGGCCCTTCCTTCACAAATATATAGAGATCTACGTGGTGTGGTGCACTAGAATACACCTCACTATGTGCTTGGAGAAGTACATCTGTGCATAACGCTAGTGATGTGGATAAGACCCTTAGTCGGGACACTTGTTCGCTGTGTACAAAGACGAGCATGGGCTGAAATACCACATCCTCGGTACCAATACTTCCAACGATTTGTGACACCCGCCCAATATTCACCAGAGATGAATGAAGCCGGACCCACTATGTCTACTCAGATCCCTTCGTGTGCGCCCAGGAGGATTGCTTGCCTCATTATTTGATTATCATTCCACTACTTCAAAGTTGAGATATGCGATGGACTTGTAAACGCCGTGCGCGCCCAGGGCTTTCAGCTTGAGCGTCATGTATTCTTTATCGCCAGTGCGCAAGTGATGTGCTATGACCGACTCGAGATAGTCGAGGTGCCTGATAAGCTTGCACCACTTGTGGTTTCCTATCATTTCGATGTTCGCATCGATCGTCCAGGTATTGTCTTGCCCAACGACGTTGAAAGCCCACTCATGAAACGTTTCGGTAGTGCCACCAGCGGAAGCTGCCACAATGGCGATCTTGTCAGTTATTTTCTTAGCTGCGCGATTGAAAACTAAGTTGCTCGCGGATATAGCCTGGCCGGCCGAATAATAGAGACCAGCTTTCCAGTGCGGTTGATGTCTCCGGGAAAGACGTGTTACCAACGGATCTGTCCCGTTGGACGCTGTGACGTCTGTTCCGTTTGCAGCATTCTCTTCTAAGAGCCTGCTGTTTGGGCAACTGTTGGCCCACACAACAGAAATTAACCCTAGTGCGGTGACTACACGTAGTAGGCGCATTGTACTTGAGTTTGCGATGATCTCTGGATCTCAGAGTGACTTATGCGGCAACAGTCGTGCGATGATGACGGGATATAGTCCGAGTACTGTGTACAATCGTCTGGGCCATTCAAGTGGGATGGAAATTGGGAAAACTTATACATGAATTGGTTGTAGTTGGATCACTGTAATCACTAGGATCACTGGCTGATCCAAAAGATCTGACAGATCCAATTACACAACGTTACCCGAGTATCCGACGATTTGCTATTTTTACCGAGTAGTGTTTACGAATGGTAAGGAAACTACAACACAAAACACAGAACCTTAGTAGATAGCATTGGTAAATTCGGGCGAAAGTAAGTCCAAACTAGACATGCGGGTACGGCCTGCATCTAGAAGATAGATTCCGATTTTGCAGCCTTTTAAGCTAAAGCCACCGGATATACATGTAGTAGCCAATTTGAAGGATCACAATTCTCACACTGGAATAGAAAGTATCCCTTCGAGGTCACCTTCAATACCGAGCATTGTGTTGAGTGCCTTTCGTCAAGCTACCTTCTGTCACTGGGAATGCAAGCCAAGCCCCCGTTGGGTCAAGGCGATAGTAATTGAGATCCAATGATAATTTTCATCTGGAATTGATCCTGTCATTAAAAATCACCCATAAATCAAAAAGAGGTCAACCAGTAGCTACATTGAAGGCATTAAGTGGCGCCCGAACGGGGTAGGAGCGTAAGTACTTATAGGCTATCTGTCTCACTTACTTTACTTCAGGCAAGCAACATGATGGCGTGGAGAGACAAAAAGAAAATTGCAGGAAACATTGAGGAATTTGTCCGATGAGGTTGCCTTGTATTACAAATTGGTGTACGTGAAAGACCTGAATTTTCCCATCTGCAATTGGTTCACTGTCGGGGTGACTATTGCACCGTTCCCACGGCGGCGGCCAGGCGAGCGGGCGAGCAGTACAGTGGTGGCGGCCGGACCACACGCCTGTGGATTTGAGCCTCGGCAAGACAAGGATCGAGCCTGTTGCGACCATCGGCACCACAAAACATCAGAGTATAGATATCAAGGCTTCGCCAGTGTCCGACATGATACCCTAGATAAACCAAGGAGAACGCCAGGAGAAGCATGCGGGAAACCACCGCGATGGAGAGCCTGCACACCGGGAAATCAATTACGCTAAAATGCGGCTTGACGCTGCCGAATCGCCTTGTCAAGGCCGCAACAACAGAGCAGATGGCGGACAAAGACCAGCTTCCCGACGAGAAGCTCAATCATGCATATGGCCAATGGGCAGACGGAGGATGGGGCCTTTTGCTAACGGGTAAGGAAGAGCATCTCAAGTCTGCGAGTTTTCAACAGGAGCTTACACTTTTCCCCAAGGGAATGTCCAAGTCGACGTTCAACATCTTGGCCAACCATACGACACCGCACTGAACGAGACCATTCCGCGGGACAAGCTGCTGCATGCTTGGAAATCGTGGGCTGCTGCATGCAATCGGTCAGGCACCCCAACCTTGATGCAGCTCAACCATCCTGGACGCCAATCGCCTCTCGGTGCAGGAAGACGTGGCTTTCTGGCCAAATCGCTGGCCCCGAGTGCTGTTCCTCTCCAGATCGGTCCCAGTGCGGTACAGCGCCTCGTCTCGTGCCTCATCTTTGGAACACCAAAGGAAATGACCCTAGAGGACATTCACGAAGTCATACGACAATTCGTGACCGCCGCCCGTCTCGCCTCCGAGGCGGGTTTTGCGGGGATAGAACTACACGCTGCACATGGCTACCTCCTGGCTCAATTCCTCTCGCCCACTATCAATCGTCGTTCTGATGCATACGGCGGCTCCCCCGCGGCTCGTGCCAAGCTCATCGTCGACATTGTCGAGGCCATCCGTGCAGAGGTTCCCTCGACTTTCTGCATTGGCGTGAAGCTCAATTCGGTAGACCACCAGTCGATTTCAGAATTGAAAGACTGCATCGAGCAGTTGCACGCCATTGCGGCTGCTGGGGTCGATTTCGTAGAGATCAGTGGAGGAACTTATGAGAACCCGGTGGTAAGGATCGATCTAGATTACTTCCCCACTGTCCCTACTCCCATTTCGGGCGTGTAAGCACTCTATTTCGGCTGACTGCGCCACTAACATGCATCCTTTCTCAGATGATTTTGGGCAATAAGGAACTAGAGAAGTCGGACCGCACAAAGGCACGTGAGGCATTCTTCCTAGAATTCGCCAAGGCCATCCGTAGCGAGTTTCCAGAGGTGCCATTGATGGTGACTGGCGGGTTTCGCACGCGGCAGGGCATGGAAGCTGCTGTTGCGGAAGGCCATTGCGACTTGATAGGCATTGCAAGACCTGCTTGCTTGAACCCCGCACTGCCCAAGAACACAATCTTCAACTCGGAGCTTGCATCCGAAGACGCAAAAGTGTATGCAAGGAGGATTGACGCACCGTGGCTGCTGAAGAAGATTGCTGGGTTTGGCGTCGGAGCAGGAATGGAATCCGTAAGTCTAAAGCATCGAAAGTCCGTTGAGCGTTGAGCTTTGAGGACGCAAGCTGACCTCTATCTTGAGACATGGTACTCAAAGCAGATTCAAAAGCTTGGCAAGCTGTAAAGTAGGTATGGGCAAAAGAAGTTGTCGTAACAATTACGAGGTCAATGCATTTTTATCAGGACGACACAAGACGCGCAAACATTATCTAGAAGCCATGCTATGTTCTCTGCGCACCGTTTAGGACCACGGCGGTTATAGAGCGATGGCCGAAAGCTTTCGGGCAAGTTTACTTCTGATGGTCCTGTAGTTCAATAGGGCTACAACTCGAATATACTGGCCATTATCATCATGTTTGTCTTTCCGCAATTAAACTTATGATATATGTCCCTATCTAATCGTATCATATGCTGGACTTTCCCATGCATAACACGAAAGCTGTTTCTCACACTCATATTAGTTGACCTTTGCGGTATGGGAACTTGTTACGAAAATGCACCGCGATGTCCTTCCTCCTAGCCACCCAGACACCTTCCTTGCCTGCAATGTACTCAATGAATTCTCTCAGTGCTGTCGCCCGACCAGGTTTGCCACTGATGCGGCAATGCAGAGCAACTGTCATCATTCCAGGATTGCCCTTCTCGCCTTCAGCATACAATGTGTCGAAGGCATTCTTAAGGTACTCAGTGAACGCTCCTACAGAGCCCCAACCATGAGGAGCGCAATATTTGAGATCATTGCAATCGTAGCTTGTAAGTTCGTGTTAGTTGATCTATCCAAAGAGACCATGATACCAAAGGACTCACGTATAAGGAATCATTAGCATGCCCTTTGGTGATGCTGAATCCTTCTCTGCTGGCACATCGACCCAGTAGGGCAAATCGTCGGCGTATGTATCTGCCTCCCAAAGTAAAGGGGCTCCCAATTCTTCGTGAACTTCATGAACAAGACCTCTTGAGTATGGCGAGAGACGGCCATAATACCAACCAACTGGATACTCTCCCGTGAGGGTTTTGAGACATTTCATTTGCTGATGAACCATAGCCTTCTCTTTCTCTGCTCCAACAGTGTGGTAGTCTATCCAGCTTGAATTTGGTCAGCACAGCGCATCTCATCATGATTCCGTGAAGAGCGCAAGGAGCTTACCGATATCCGTGCGATGCAATTTCGTGGCCACCGTCAATAAACGCTTTGACGACTGCGGGATTCTTCTCGAGGGCCATACCAACAGCGTACACGGTGGCTGGGAACTTGCGCTCCTCCAAAGTATTCAACAATCTCCAAACTCCACGACGCGAGCCATAATCATAGTCACTCTCAACGTTAACCGCGCGCTCACCCATCCGTGGAGCAATGTGGGCCTGTTCCCAAAGCATATTCTCGGACTGCGTATCGCCATTGAGGGTCGTGCGCTCCGCTCCCTCTTCATAGTTAATCACAAATGAAACAGCAATTTTAGCGCCATTGGGCCATTCGGGATTGGGAGGACGTCGCCCAAATCCAACATGGTCGCGTGGAAAATCATATTTGGTCCCCCTGAGGGGGTCTATGTTCATTGGCGCTTCGTCACCCATCGCTGCGACTTGTGCTTTCAATGAGATACCGGATGGTGCAAAACCAATGCACCATAGCCCATTCAAGTTCTATAGTAATAGTGACACTATTCCACCCTGACGACCCGCTGACGGCCAAGCTTAGTGCAGTCTGCAAGATAACGGCGAAAGAGCCCACCAGCTTATCGCTTGCCAACGGCACTCGGCAGTGGTGATCGACATCACTGATAAGACGACGGCCATCGGCTCTTCACCTGCTCGGCTAGTTATTCGCTCGCTAAGGGACGAAAGGGAACCGATAGTACCTCCTTCGGCAATAGCATTTATCATAACTTTGTAGTCCAAATCCAGCCTTTAGTACAAATTGATCAACTTGCTCACCGTTGTGGCGATTAGTCTTGTGATCCGAGTTTTACCTCGATATATGTGCAGTGCAACACTTCTGTACCAGCCACCGAAATTGTGTAAGTTGAGGAGTCATGGCGCCATCAGCTATTGATCCCGATCCCGAGCCTGAGTATGTGGTGTTCTCGCACGATGGATCATGGGGTCATAAACGCGAGGTTCTCAGGGGAGACCGAGCGAAGTCTACCTTTGAAGAGATTCCGATAATAGATATGACGGGCAGTTTCAGTGACGACGTCAATGTCAGGCGTAAGGTTGCGAAAGAAATCGCCACTGCGTGTGAGCAGGTGGGATTTTTCTACATAAAGAATCATGGAATACCTCAGGAGTTGATGGACGAAACTATGGGGGCAGCCCGCAAGCATTTCGACAAGCCTTTTGAGGCGAAAATGCGCGAGCATATTTATAAAAGCAAGGACATGAGAGGATATGAGCCAGTACACGGAGCTAACGTGGATCCCAACACAAAAGGAGGTAAGAATGGTGTAACCTACTACAAAACGAGACATGCAGACTAATTGATCAACAGACCGCAAGGAATCGTTCCTTCATAATTGGGAACCAGAATGTGAACCAGTCCCACCGACTCTCACCGAGGAGCAACGCGCATTACTGCACCAGAATCTTTGGCCTGATGACGATCCTGGATTCAAGCAGGCATGTTATAAATACGACCGACATATGGTGGTACTCTTGCGGAAGATGATACAAATGTTCGCTCTTGGTCTTGGGCTTGATGAACATTATTTTGATGAGAAAGTCACTCATCCTCTCGCATCTTGCAAGATGATTCACTACCCTCCACAAGATCCTACGGCCAACGACGAGACGGGCATCGGTGCACACACAGACTTCGTCTGTAAGTTGGTTCGAACGCATATGACGTGATATTTGGCCCTGCTAACTAATTCTAAGGCTTCACTATGCTCCTCCAAGATGACGTCGGGGGCCTGGAAGTGCTGAATGCAAACGCACACTGGATTCCTGCAACTCCCATTCCCGGCACCTTTGTCATCAATGTTGGTGACTTCCTGATGAGGCTCACTAATAAAAAGTTTCTATCAACTGTTCATCGTGTTGCAAACAAAACCGGAAAAGAGCGCTATTCAATGCCTTGGTTTTGCTCGTTCAACCTTGATGCTATTGTAGAGGTCCGAGTTTCCGTCGAATTAGGCACTGTGGTCGAAAGATGTTAACTGTAGCCACAGGTTATCCCAGACTTTGTCTCAGAAATGCAGGCTGCAGCATACGAACCAATTACGGTCGCCGAGGTGAGAAGCATCAATGCTTTTTAGTTGATTGTTCTTTATCTGATTTTTGTAGTACTACCAACGTCGCCTCGGCAAACAAAGGAAGGAGGGTATTCGCAAGGGAAAGTTTGAGATGACCTCAGCATCATAATTATATATAAATCCGATCTGATTGCTCAGGAATTATCTAATTAAAGAGAAAACGGGTAGTCTGTCATTGAGTAGCACTTCTACCAGTGTCAAGATACACGATGTGGCATGCTTTCAATATTCTCATGCCGGTCATTGCTGTCTCATTTAGGTACATTCATATTGAGTTGATACCCCTGTTTCGATACGGTAGCAATTGCAGGCTCCCCAATCAAGATGGGTTTACTCGATTCCTTGCCGAGCAGCCCGATGATCAAAGTTGAGTAGCGTGAGTGTGTAAGCGAGCATGGCAGGTCTGGGCGGGGATCTTTTGCTTTACCATAGGTGGCCTAAGTTGAGAACGAAACGCAGCAATTCTTTATAGTGGAAAGTAATCATATTGGCTGTTCCAGGTTTCTGCTCTGATGGACGCATATAGGTTGACGGCCAGCAAGGCTTTGGCTCAATTAGAAAATGGTTCTGTTACAGTGGAAAGGTATACCTGTTCGCTATTACTACGATTTAAAGAGTGTGACACAGCTATCAAGGCTTCCGCTAAGTGTGTGGTGATGACAGCTGGACTATTCATGTTTTTTAAATGTTTGTGGCTGAAGGCGCTGTTACCCCATTATGAGCTTGGTGATGTACCTTTCGCAAGCTGCCATTGCTGGCTTCGTTCGTCTGGAAGGGGTTTAACTCTCCAGCTCCTGCGTGAAATACCTTTGACCCTCGAATAGAGATATTGCCGGCTTGTGACCGGGCAGTTCGTCGAATTAGAGTCTTTATGAAGAGGCTTATCTGGCTGTCTGATCCAGAGGCCCACATAGATTTGTGGTCCCACATCGCATCTTCCTCGCCTAGATATGAGGCATGATACAAGGCTAGTGAAGCTATTAGCCGACGCTTTGATAACGCCAGCAATCACTAGATATCAAAGGCATCCATCTTACAGATAAGCACGCATATAGTACAAATGGCTTCGGGGGCATGCTGGGAGAATAAATTGGCTATCCAGCCCCCAATCAAATGTACCTGTCTGTTTTGTTTACGACGTGATCTGGCGCCAAACGTTTCCCAATAGACCAAATATAACATAATGAAGCTGTCTTCAGAAGAGAAGCGAGTGGAGCCCGATGTTGGAGCTCCTACAAGAGTTTCCATTCAACGAGCATCCATTGACAACACTGCACTTGGCAAACAGGTCGATGACAAACGAAATGATGATGCGCTTGCTTTTGCAGCCGAACATCACGTCGGCTCTCTCACCGCCGAGGAAGATAAGTTAATGCTGTGGAAGATCGATAGAGTTCTGTTACCTATTGTAAGTTGCTTGATACTTCTTTTCACGCGCTCTACTGACAACTTAGCTCGTTATGACTTACAGCCTGAAGTTCCTGGACCAGCAGGCTATGTCATATTCATCTAATTTTGGACTTCGAGATGATATGGTATGTCTGCACATATGAAGCTGACGACATTACTACCAGCTTACTGAGGTAAATAGCATTTATCACTAAATCAATATGCCTGGGCGTCTGGTTCAATCATCAACCTAGGTAAGTAGCATCCTATCTTCTTGACCATTTTCAACCCATGTTTGAAGAGATTACTGAATACTTCCGAAGCGATCCTGGTATTTCAGCCCATTGCCAGCAGAGTTATGCAAATCGTCCCTCTTGGACGGTTCGTTTCGGTATCCGTACTTCTGTGGGGTGCCCTCCTCATGTGCACTGCCGCCGCGCGCTCATTCGCCGCAATATCTGTGCTCCGAACACTGCTTGGATTCGCCGAATCTGGCATTACACCCGCAATGGTGTTAATTGTTTCGATGTGGTACAAGAGAGATGGCGAACAACCAGGTCGCCAGGGGGCTTGGTTTCTTGGCAATGCCATTGCGGTTTGTGGTTTTCTAGACGTGTCATTCTTCGTTCTACACGTCAACTGATCCTGGCATAGCAAATGGTCGGTGGCCTCCTCGGCTATGGTATCGGTCATATCAATAGTGATCTGAACGCTGGTCCTTGGATTTGGTTCTTCATCATCGTTGGTGCCATCACATTCATTTGGGGAATCATTCTCTTCTTCATCCTCCCAGACAACCCAATGAACGCCAAATTCCTCAAACCTCATGAAAGGGCCATGGCCATAGCTCGTCTCAAAGAAAATCATACCGGCATTATCAACCATCAATGGAAGTGGGCCCAGTTTCGAGAGTGTCTAGCAGATCCTTTTACTTGGATGTACTGTTCTGTATTATTTCTTAGCACCATTCCGTCAGGAGGTGTTGCGTCTTTGTAAGCATTTCTTCGGGATAACATCAGAACCAATAGCTGACACAGTTCGCCAGCGGCAATATCGTAATCAAGCAATTCGGATTTTCTTCTCTTCAAACTACCCTCTTATCAATCCCCCTGGGAGCAGTTCAAACAGTGTCACTGCTCATTAGTGGATGGTTGAATTCCCGCTTCAAGAACATTCGTTGTATTGTGGCTTCTGTCACCCAAATCCCTCCACTTATTGGAGCTGTTCTCCTCATGACACTACCACAAAGCAATCATGTTGGCCGCCTTATCTCTTACTATATCATTCAAACACACACTGTTACCAATGTCATGATCTACTCTATATTTACTGGTAACACCTCTGGATTCACCAAGAAGCTCACTGGCTCAGCTCTGATGTTTATATCATCGTCCTTGGGACTAATCATAGGGCCACAGCTATTCGTGGCAAAGGAGGCTCCTCGGTATGCTACGGCTTTTAATGCAGCCATATCATGCTTTGCAATTCTGATTGCCCTTCCATTTGTCATAATGGCTTACGTGTTCTGGCTGAACAAGAAGAAGGCAAGAGCACTCGCTGATGCACCATCGTATACTGAGGAGGAGCTTGCACAAGAGGGTCTGATGGATTTGACGGACAAGGAGCAGTTGCACTTCCGATACGTCTATTGATCTATCGGAATTAATTTTCATCTTCCTGGAAATGATCAGATATTTATACTTCTCTACAAACTCGCCAAGCACATGGTGGAATGATTGCCTGTTTGCACTGTCAAACTATTGAACACATACAACGCTCATGAATCAATTACACATGATATGAAGTTTCTGATTACAGTGACTAATATTTGCAATCAGCCGCATGTCTTGAGAGTATTTAGGAAAGAAAACATAATTATATCTCCAAATTTGTTAAGAAGGGCAACTCAGCACTTGTCGCCCAAACCTGACGAGGTTCTCATTCAGTAGAGGCTCCTTGTCGAAACCTTTCAAAACTTGATCAATCATGCTAGCGGAAATCTCGCTGACTGTCACGCTGGGCATTGATACAGCTACTTTCATCACAAAAGCCATGAGGGATCTTGTAGAGAAGGTAGGAGCCGTGATCCAGCCAGGTTTCGCCACGCGTACTTCATTATCTCGGTTGCTCTGCTTGGCCCTTGGAAAGTGTAGAGACACTATCAGTCTATGTAAATGGGGTATTGAATCATTCGGCACGCTTACACGCATCGACAAATATTGTGATAAGAATGGTATTCTCTTGTTGGGATCACACTCGGCTGCACTGCCACTGATATAAACGAATCGGAATGGGCGATTAAGTCCAGCTTTGTGCATTGCTTTGAGGCCCGCGAAAGGACAGCCCTGGCAAACTCGCTTCACCTCTGCAAAGTCCACCCCTCTGGCGTTTGAAGGAGTGATGGCAACTGTCCTACTCGGACATTAGCTCAATAGGTTGGCAGCTAGATGGGGGGCTAGAGGCCTTTATTAGATGCACGCATCAGCTTCAATGAACTTCTTTGTAGTGCGGTCTGGATAGTTTTCATAATCATCAATAGTGACATTTCGTAGCTTGGATATATCTCCTTCATCTTCTGGATTTGTGGCATCGACAACGGTGTCCTAGACAATGCAACTACTGCTGTGATGTCTGGTTGTTTCAAGCTCAATCTGACTACTTCCTTTCCCACAAAACCCGTAGCTCCTGTAACAATAAGCTTCATGGCTGAATATAGGGTCGTGTTGCGCACATGTTTTAATTACTTCTCTCGACACTCAGAGCAGACACTTCAAGGGATTTTACAATAATTTTATCTTTCATACTAACGATCACAGAGACCAATCCAATACACTAACATCTCCAACAAACAACGGAATATCGGGGTAGGGCCTTGACTCGCGACTCCGTGGACTACTACCTATCTAGGCGAATTATCAGTCAGCCACTGAGAGGCCCGATTGCTGAGCTATATTAGCGCACCGGATAATCAGCCTCCTACTCCGATTCCGATTCTATCCTCCTGCCGGTTCATCCCGCTGCCCTTCCATATTTTAATAGTTCCTATCGAAAAAATAGGTACTGCGACTCCTACTCCGACTCTGATATCCTCTCACCGACTAGCAGGCACTGCATTGCATCACAATATCTTTGCTCCGATCCGTGTTAGTCGCTTAGGCAATAGGGGGTCGAATCCTGGAACGCAGCAAGTATCAGCGGTACCTAGTCCACTAATAGATATGGCTACTACTAGTAGCTTAGGTACCTTAGGTACTGTACATATGATACTCCGAGTCTCTGTAGCAGGTATACGCCTGCACTGATGATGGAGGTCTTGGGTGGGCAGCCAGATAGGTAGGTACCTGAGGTAGGTAACTCAAACTCTAAATCCTCCCAGGGTGTCTAGGTACCTACTAACTTACCTAGTAGGTAAGTTTGCAGCCGGAAGACTTGCTTCCCACGAGGCATTTTAGATGCCTATGGGTAGTTAGGTAGGTATGGCACCTACGAGCGGCCTCGCTGCTATAAGCTCGCCA